GATGGACTCATCGCAAGAAAAACAAATTCCAACTTTTATACTTTTATGTTCGTCTCTGCTTTAAGCTAATAAGTTTTATGTCATTAGAGGTTGCATAACTATTCAAAGATACGTGAAATTCGTACCTTAAGTTCGACATCAATAAAATCCGCTCCCAAATCCATGGCTACATGCAGTGCATCTTGTCGCTGCTTGTCGTCACCCTTGTATTGACCTCCTTCCCATGCTGGCCTACAAGGTAAATGAAGCATAAGAAATACTGCTAGACCGCACTTAACAGAGACACTACCACGCCGAAATGAATTCAACAAAATACGCAAAACATATATGCAGCAGCAAGGCCAGTTTGAACATGAAGCAACTAAAAGAACATACACAAAGCAATCAAACTACTCGTATCCTTTAGTCTAACGCGATTACTCAGCATCCAAAAACTCGTAACTGTAGACTCGGCAGACATTATTCAATCCGACGCTCTTAAATTCTTGAACTCCAGAACCGTAACTAGTATATACTGTGAATAGATTGCATTAAACTAAGTGATATATCAATCGGTTCAACGATTACCTGTAAGTGACAAGGGTAGGCAAAGGACTTTGTTTGATCAATACACTGAGGTCGTGTCTTGGACTGAAGTTCTTCAAAAAATCAACCCGAAGTTCAACGAGGTCAGCGCCAACTTCCTTTGCCTTCCCCATTTGGACCAGCATCTGATCAACTGAATCCGCCACTACCGGCGCACATATCAGTGTGGAATTTCTTGGAGTTCCATCCATGATATGAAGATCCGAAGCTGCCAACTGAAAGTTCACCAAATGAAACAAACAAAAATAAGTACACAGGTTATACAATTCGCAACATGAACCTACGAAACTACACCACATTTTCACACATATGGAGCAGAAAGGAATTGACTTCTTCGGTTAGCAATGGAGGCAAATGAAAACCCATAAAAACCAAAAAGCCCAAATTTTCTGGGTCGTTTTTATTTTCCCTCCATTTGCTCAGTAACCAAACAAGTAGCATTCAAATCCAAAATTTACCAGTTTGGCACCCAGAGAACCAAGACTCAAACAAGTAGCATTCAAATCCAAAATTTGCTATAATAATCCTCACTGCCCTCTTAACTACAGAACAGAACAGAGGAGAGAGAGAGAGAGAGAGAACAGAGTAGAGAGAGAATTGGGGTGCAGAAATAACAAGTTACATTACCGGGAGGGTGCCGCGAGTCATTTCCCTTCAATTGCGTAAGGTTTGGAACTTCAAAGGTGGCTAGCAATGCCAGCAAAATCAACTCCTATTGGTCTACAAAGAGAGAGAGAGAGAGAGAGAGAGAGAGAGGAGAAAACAGAGTAGAGAGAGAATTTGGGTGCAGAAAGAACAAGTTAGATTACAGAGAGGGTGCCGATAGTCATTGTCCTTCAATTACGTATGGTTTGGAACTTCAAATGTGGCGGCGACCAATGCCAGCAAAACCAACTCCTATTTGTCTAGAGAGAGAAAGAGAGAGGAGAGAGAGGGAGGGAGGGAGGGAGACAGTGAGGTTGGTGCTTGGTGGATGTGGTAGGTGGAATATATAGAAACAGGCCAGAAGAAGCCGTAACCCTCTTCCCTTCTTCTCTGATTTTTTTTCCGATCCTGCTAAAGGAAAAGGAAAAAAAAACAATAAAACATAAAGGATTTTCAGCCAGTAAATCCTAGTAAATATATCTGCCATTAGCTTTTGCATTTTTAACTTTGTATGGACGAATTTTTTTACCGAAACTAACTAACTTTTGAAATTTTGGAATCGGTTACTTCCTTGGCAGAGGAGCAGGGCAGCTGGAGCGGAGGCAGTAGGTAGATGAAGCAGGTTGAAATTATCATATTGCCCTTCTTGTTGGCCCACTTGGGAACGAACCAAATTGGATTGCAACTCTGACCGTAAAATTGATATAATTCAAACCGTTCATTCTTTTTATTAGGTTCGAATATTATTTTTCAAAATTTTTCTTAAATGTGAAATTCGATTAGTCACTCACGAAATCCGACAAAAGGATTAACCAAAAAGATATTGGAAAGTACGAAGGGTCAGTTAATTTCCCACTTGTCCCACCTACCTGTGTTTTGTCTTTTCCCCCAATTGCAATTGGCAAGTCCTGGCGTATATAGTGAAGGTTTGGTGTGTGCCCGGCCAAACCTAGATCCACAATTTCGAGGGTTTTTATTTATTTATTTTTTCCTTTTCATATTTGTACTTTTCGAAGGTGGGAATTTTTTCTGGTAACGTAGTGGTTAGAGAGAGATTGATTATTTCACCACCGGCTAAAGTATATTCACAATTTCAAGCTGAAAGGACTTATGCGTGATATCTAATTGTCAATTGATACCGGTATGAATTTATTTTATAATTTACAGATTGCAAACCTTTGAGGACTACTGGTAGGGAAACTCAAACTTCGATAAGGTGGCACATAGGACGAAATTGTGAATTGAGGCAACCACCACATTGTCTGTTTTGTATAGATGTTTTATGTAATTTTATTTTGTTTATTTACTAATGGTTTACATGTGATCAGATAAGAGTCCATGCTTTTCATTTGATGAAGAAATTTTTCAATGTGTTTTGAACACGAGATGATACGCTATATGCAGTGACGAAGCCACATGAAGGCGAGGAGTGGCAGCCGTCACTCCCCTAACCAGAAAACCCGATTGATTCAACCCCTCCGGACTGAAGGGGAGAGCTTTGAGGAGGAGATGAGGTGGGGCCGACGAAAAGAAGACGAGAGTGGGGTTGTAGGATGGCAGAGGTTGGAGGAGGTGAGGGTTGGTCAGCCATGTCTAGTGGGGTTTATGGGAGGAAGAAGAATGTTGTTTGGTTATCAGGTTATGGGAGCAAGTAGGATGTTTGGTTATCAAAATAGCAGGAGCTTGGAGCAATCAAATGGACAGTTGTAGCATTTTTATTGAGCTATATAATGGTCAGTAAAAATGGTTTACTGACCTATCAGCAGGCAAGTATTATCCGTTTGGTTATCAGGATAGCAAGAATTTGGATGTGAGTTTTAAAGATGGGTGTTGGACAATTATTGGGCCACCTAAGTTAATAAAAATTAGGTACCAACACCTTACCCCAATATTATCCTGCTAATTGTTTGTTTACTTTTTTTCTCTCCTAAAATATTGTGTTGACCATCACTTTTCTTCCGGTCTTTATCTTTCTCCCCCACTTGTTTGTTTACGCATTTCCCCCTCTCCTTTTTCTCTTCTGACCCCACCTTTTTTGGTGGTTTATTAACCCATTTCTCTCTTTTTATTCTTGTATCTATTTTTATTTTCTCTTTTAAGACTCCCACCGTATTTATCTTAAACTCTAATATTATTTATAAATATTGTATTACTTTTTAAAAACAATGTAAATATTGTTTAATGCTTATTTTATGATAATTTAAATCGCTCCGGGCTCCTACCTAGATCTCACATAGGCACTTAGCTGCTAGGTCTCAGTTCACTGTTTGACTGGCACCTAACATTTTTTAGGATGTAATCCTAACCAATTTAAACTTATTACATTGGCTTTGATATTATTGCTTACAACTACTTTGGTGGAAAGACTATTTTCTAGTATGAATATTGACTCAAAACTTTGCACTCTCTAATGTGAAAGCAACCACTTCGATTGAACCTTACACTCTTTTGAATTTCTCCTCTCCTCTCGGCAAATCCTGGCTTCGCCACTGGCTATATGTTATTTATGATACACTTGGGAAAAGGTTTTTATTTTTTATTTTTTTATTTTTATTTTTTTCAATATCATTCCAATTGTATAATTACATACGATATTCCGCCCTTAGTTTCGAGTAGAGTTGGCCCACCACCACCTTATGAGTCTTGAGTGATTTGGATGACAAGTAATTGTCTTTGTAGATAATAGTGGTTTGGAATTTAGATGGTCTTTCTTTGAAGCAAGAATGCAACTTGCCTTGATGATTTGATCCCAAAACGGTAATATGTTCGTATATTAAGTAGTTAAAAGTATTAATTTGTGTTTTAGATCGTATGTGTCAAACATAAATTCAAAAATTTTACAGGAGTTTGTAGTTACGTGCCGTCACAAAATGCATTTGCTATTGCGGGACGATGGCAAATATGGCAATAAAATAGAAAGCGACGGTACACAGCAGCCAATGCTCTTGACGGCCATAATTTTTTTGAATTTGTCCTTGGATTCATTCGGACCCATCCTTATAAAGCACCAAAGGTGTACTAATCAACGGGCCCTCGAAAACCTACTTTCTGTTGTGACAAAATAAACCAAGCCTAACCGATGGGGTCGCCTTTTTACATATTTCATTAAGTTGATGGAGACGGGCCAAATGCCGTCGCAAAAAGGAATTTGGGATATATAAAAAAAAAATAATAATAATAATGATTATGTTGTAAAACTGACGGTTTGTGCAGTGGAATAAATAAACAAGATACAAATTACGAGGTTCCTCTACAGTCAGTGTGACTGGAGTACGTCCTCGAAGCAGCAGTGATACATTCATTATAATCTAGAATAATAAGATTACAAAGATAACTATTTCTATTATCTCCTCTCTTCTTCCTCTCTTCTTTCTTCCTCTACCAGTCGTATGTCTATCTGGGTATATTTGCTCTCCTTCTTCTCATTCATTTTATAGACAAAGCTTTAGACAAAGTTGTGGTGGGATGAACATTGAATTGGTAGTGGGATAGATGGGCATCCACAATGAAAAAAAAAGATGGATCTTGATGTATGATAATTTTTTTTCATTTTTTCTTTCTTTTTTTTTTTTTTTTCAAAAAATGATTTTCGCATTCCTATTTTCATTTCTACATTCTTTGATTCGTTTCTAGCAGTTGGATCTTTATAAATAAAATGAGAAAATCAAAGAAAGGAAACAAAGGGGGGAAGTGGAACGAAAACAAAAAGAGGAGTGCAGGAGGAAAAACGGAGTGCGAATAGCATTCCCAATTCGAATGTCGTATTTAAATGCAGACAAGGCGTGGTCGATTTTTTATATAAAAGATGACAATTGACAAAGTGACCCTGCTCCAGCTAAGAGCCTAAAATTTAGTCAAATTAGATACATATCACGACAAAACTGTCAATTTTCCGTCACTAAAAGTAAGAAGTGTTTCTAGGTTCACAGTACAGGGATGGTTTTCGGAACCAGGATGTACATTGTACACGGTCCATCATGGCTCCTCCTTCATCTGCCTGAGACGTTTACTTTTACGGCATTGTTCAGGTTCAGTCCTGATGGGTAAACGGCTCCTTCTACGCTTCCCTTTTTCGTGCTCTTGTTCATCCTTGGGGACAACAGATGGCATTGAACTTCCCGAATTCTCCTTAAGTTGTTCCAGCTTAACGATATCTGATTCAATTTCCTTGGACGGGAACTCAGACTCGAGATTGCGATCTTTGATGTATCGAATCAGATCTCTCAGCTCAGCTATTTGGTTCCCTAAAATTTCATCCTGTGAGCAAAATTAAGCCATGAAAGATGTAAAATTTCAGTTATTACACTGAGGATGGTTCCGATTTAAGTATTTAAGCAATAGCTATGGGATGTCAAGAAGAGTAAAGCTACCTTTTCATCAAGTGATTCTTCTTCCAGCCATATTGTGCGGTAGGACTTTCGTGCATCCTCCACATATTCTTTCAAGAGTAGTGCGGGCGAGAACTTGTCATTTAACTTGAAGGCACACATGAATTTAACAGCGTCGATGACCTCCTTCCTTTCAATGAGATTCTGAACAACATCTGTTATGTTTAACACAAAGTTGGAATCATTAAACTGCTCCACAGAAGTTTCAAAAGGACAATTGCAAACTTAAAGAAGTTACCATTAGCAAAAGCATTAAAAATAAATAACGTTGACAATTTATTCTGTTGCTGCGTTCATGCCATTTTCCCAGTTAGCTTTTGTTTCGGAGACTCAAAAAAAGATTCTATTCCATCGATCGCTTTTTCCGTTTGCCCTTTTCTCTTTATATATTTATATTCTTTTGATTCATTTGCCTGTTCCTTTAAGTGATCAAACAGAGAATCCCAATGATGACAACACGATTCATGAAACTCTCATCCGAGGAGAGGACAACAGTTCCCCGACAAACTAAATATCAACCATCAAAGGATACACTTGTGTGGAAATTTGTTGAGCTTCCGAACAACAGTATATAAATAAAATATAAAAATAAAAAAAATCCCAACAAAATCAGTATCTCAACAAGATGATTGACTCATGAAATTTATCACAGGCTTATCGGTCATGTTTAAGCTATTTGCTAATATTCGACTGGTAATCAACTCCTGAAGATGGTCTAAAACCAACATAAACCTATCACCCTAGCACAATAGACATAAGAATGGCATTGAGGATACTCATAGTTACAAATGCATATAGCCAAAATTTTGTAAGTTGCAGAAAGAAATTAATTAACATACAAAGAAATAGGTAAGAGAATGGTACTGGAACACAAATGTCACACCCTCAAAGTTAATATTCAAGAAACTTACCAGGTAATATCTTATCCGCAAACTCAAGTGTCTGACATAACTTTGTAGCCGGTTTATGCTGACATAACATCCCAAGAAGCTTTACAATATCATCTCCATTTAAAGTAGAAAGGAGTCCATATGTAGCTATAAACTGCAGAAAACCCAAAATCTCCATTGAATTTCCGATATCAGCTCTCATTTTTGCTTGCCACTGGACTGCTAGCTTTACTGCATCTTCTTTCACAATAGGTCCAACATCCGGTTTAACTTTCATTAGATCATTCAACATGGAAATATGATTCTTCATGAAAGATTCTTCAAAACCAACACATCCGTTTCCCCAGCGCTCATTAAAAGATTCTTGCATCAGCTTCAAAAAAAGATTTGCTGGGTCAGTTGACCTTTGTAAAACTGCAAGCATTCTGTTTTGCATTGGCTGGTTCTCACTTAGTGAAAGATTTGGAGAAGATGAAGTTGCTGCATTTCTGACATGTGAAGATTCTGGTTGCTCAAGTTTAACAGGGAAAGAAACGTTGATTTCCGCTATGTAAATGCAAAAGGAAACAAAGAAAGATAGTATAGTGAGTGACAAGTTTTGAGTTTACAGTATTATGTGGCAAAACAAAAGATCGATTCAGAAGTATATGCAAAGTGTAAATCTTGCAGAATATACCCACAAGGCAAAAAAGGAGACAACTGCTATGAAATATGTTTAGAAATCATTGCTTTTGTTAAAGTAAATGCCTCCCCTACAACTTCAAAATATGAAGAGAGATATATTACATAACCAAATAAAAATTAGAAGAGCTTACCAGGTGCCTGATTTATGATACCAAAGGCCTGGAGTAGTTCAGTAGCCTGTTCTTGCATAGCAACTATAGCCTTGATAGTCTTCTCCTTACACTTTTGATTTTGGATGTGTTCCTCCGTGGATTTTTGAATCGAATCAAATTCTTTTTGTTTCAATTTGAGATCCTTGACCTGTTCTTCAAGTTGCCTCTCTCTCATTTCAAGTCCACGGGATCGTTCTCGCAACAAATTTTCTTCTAAATTCATATGCTTTTGGCGCTCTTGATTCATGGAATCAACTTCTTTCTGTTTCAATTTGAGCTCCCTGATCTGTTCTTCAAATTGCTTCTCTTTCGTTTCAAGTCCACGAGAACGTTCTTGTAACGACTTTTCTTGTAATTCCAATTCCTTCTGCCGTTCTTGCATCAACTTCCTGAGTGAATGACAATGCTCTCCTTGCAACCGAACCTCACCAAGGCATTCACTAACCCTACTCTCAATCAAACTGAGTCCTTCAACTTTTGACTCAACTTCTTTTTCTCTCAGTTCAAGCTTCCCCACCCATCCTTCGAGTTCCATCTCTTTCGATTCAAGTTTACAAAACCACTTCTCCATGGATTTCTTAAGCATGTCAAAATCTTTCGCCTTCACCTCGATTTCCCTGATCATTTTCTCTCTCGATTCAAGTGTCTTAGAGCATTCCACCATTGATTTCTGAATCAGCCGAAGTCTCTCATTTTTCGATTTCATCTCTTCCTGACATTCTTCGAGTGATTTCTTTGCTTCCCTAATCTGCTTATCCATCAAATCAAACACTCTCTTCCCCTCATCAATAGACCCCTTAAACCCTTCCAATTGCCTCCGTTTCAACTCAATATCTTCATTGTACTTGCTCACTTTCTCTGTCCCTTCCTCAATGCATTTCTCAACTTCCAGTAACCGTTTCTCTTTACCATCAACCTCTTTTCTTTTCTCCTCTGCCAACCTCTCGATTTCGCGCAATTCCTCATCTTTCGATTCCATTTCCGAGTTAAAGTTCACAACTTTGGCTTCCAGCTCCGTTTCCCGGTCCTCAACTTCTTTGATTCGGGTCTGGAGCGAGTTCCGATCCGAGTTAATGCCGTCCTGTATCTCCTGGAATTGGCTCTGAAGCACATTCCGAGCGGAGCCCATCTTCTCCAAAAGACCCTTCAGTTGCAAGGAACCATTGCACTGCATCAACTCCGATTGTTTCAAACGGGTAACCATCTTCGCCATTGTTGATCAAGTTTGCTTTTCTTCTAAAAATTAAAAACAAAATAAAATTAAAAAAAATCCAAAAAATTAAGAATCGAACTGTTACGAACACAATTCGGTTAAACACGAAGAAGAAAAAGAGAAAACCCTAATGTGTCTAGTGTGTTCAGTTAACCAAATAAGGTGCACTTTCAATTTCTGAGAAAAACAAAACCCTAAAAACAGAGAACGTGAGATTACTGAAAGAGAACGAAAGGCCGCCATTGCTGATGAAATGAAAGAAACTGCATACCTTTGAGTTGGGATTTCTCAGCTCTGGCCTTGAAATCGACGGCTATGGAGGAAGGACGGCGCAAAGCTTGACGCTTTAGCTGCTGTTGCTGCTGCTTCTTCTTCTTCTTCGAGCTCTCTGAAGCAGTGAAGCTCCACCAGCTCGGTCGTTAGGAGTAAATGATCATGCAGATCATACGGACAAAGCAACGGCTAGGATTTATGGGGACTGTCTTAGTTAGTACCGCACGTTCGGCGGCCACGTGTCCAGCCGTACTATTTTGGCCTTTAGTCGGTCAATTTTTGGTCTATCCTGTTTGACTTGGGGATTTGGCGGTTAATTAACCTTTTAACTTGGTATTTAGCGCCTAATTGATTTATTCTTTTATCTTATTTTTGTCAACACTATTACTTACAGATAATATTATTTCGGCGTTTATCGAGGCATGTTATTTTTCGAATGGTTGTTTTAGGAATTGGATCCGTTTTGAACTTTTGTGTTCGGAGTCTTAGGAAATGAGTGAATAGAGATCGTTGGTTTTGTATGGTAGATCAGGAAAATAAGTTAATGATAACCTTTTGATTGAATTTGTGCGGCCCAGATGAATTAATTTCTAAGTTCTAAACATTAAGGTCCAGACCGGATTTAATTCCTTATCCTCATTGAAGATGTTAACATTTCAACAAAAATTTGTTTGACAAAAAAAAGAAGAAGAAAAACTGATATTTTTTAAATTTGGCGCTTAATTAATCTTCTCAATTCAATGAGATTAAAAATGTAACTCACTTTTTAGTTGTGACAAATTTATCACATAACAAACCTATATTAGAGTGCGGTTTATTTTTAAATGTGGGACACAATTTTATGATCGACTAATGCCACTGAGACTATAAATTAGTTGAAGAAAGAACCTCAACAACTAAAAAATTAGTAAATCCCATTCATATTATTTTTTTCGTCCTCAAACTTGCCCTTCCGAATAAGTAAACATGTCATGCCAACCTCTTCTAAGTAAAACTTTATAAACTATATTTTAAACATGATAGTTCAAGCAAACTCTGAATAACATGTTTCCACTTCCACACAAGCAAATTCTGAATAGCTGCTTCCCCTGAATGCAAGTAATGCCGCTCAATATTTTTAATCACGGCAGCTCACTCAGCCGTCTGAGACGCTTACATTTGCGCCGTTCCGGCGGTTGAATCATGAGGCTAAGATTCTGAATCAAATCTGCAACATTTTACGACAAGAAGGTTGCCATAAGGAGAATAGCATGAGCATATATAACAACTTGAACTTGTAGAACTCACTATTACTATAAGCAAACATAACCGAACATATTGCAGATGGAACAGAATCCTAATTACGCAAGCTAACCACAGAACGCTAGTGATACAAGAACACTATATTCCGACGAGATAACAAGTGTTCTCGAAAAACTAACTACAAAACCAATCAGAAGTTACACTTGTAACAACCAAACCAACTATAACCGAAAAATTTGTAAACAACTGAGAATACATAGATACAGACAAGAGCAATGGTAGTGGAACACAAGCATGACGAAATCTGTGAATGTCGATTTTCAAGAAACTTACCAGGGATCTTATCTGAAAAACCAAGTGTTCGGCATGAGTTTAGAGCCATTTCATCCAGATAAATCATCCCAAAAAGCTTCACAATTTCATCTTTGTTAAAGGCAGAAAGCAATTCATATGTAGATATAAACTGCAAAAACCCCAAAATCTCCATGGAATTTTCAGAATCAGCTCTCAATTTTGCCATCCACTGGAGTCCTAGCTCTTTAGCATCTTTTTCACATCAGATCCAATACGCCGTGTGACTTTTGCTAGATCAATCAACAGGGAAATGGTATTCTCCATGACAACTGCTCCAAAACCAACGTCTCCGTTTCCCCAGCATTGACCCAAATGAGTTTTTATCAACTTGAAAGCAAGTTTTTCCGGGTGCAATGATATTTGTAGGGCAACAAACATTCCATTCTGCATTGGTGGGTTACCACTTGAATGCTTGTTTGGAGAGCCCTGCACATCTGTTGCATCTGTAGTGGCACTCGGTTGAAGATTTGGAGAAGATGAAGAAAGTACATTTCTAACCGGTGAAGATTCTGGTTCCTCAACTTTAACAGCGAAAGAAATGCTGTTGCTCGCTATGTGATTGCAAGAAGAAACCAAGAAAAGGATAAATAAGAAGAAAACTTGCTAATAACCTTTAACAACACAGTTACAAAAGAGGGACAAATAAAACTATTTACATTTTTTAGGCCAACAAAAGGAGAGACTTACATAACTTTAAAGCTCCAAAAAAATCTTTGCAGAATATAACATTTTTAAAATTTCTTTATAAACCATTTCTTGAAACAACATCTTAAAGTAAATGAGTAATCTGGTAATCTACAACTCTAAATGAAAAAGTATAGAGAGCTTACCAGCTGCCTTGTTTGTGGTCTTAAGTGCCTGGCATAACTCAGATGCTTGTCCATGCTGAGCCACGATAGCAAGAAGACTTTGAAGCTCCTTTGGATCACAAGCAGTTGTGATCTCATACACAGTAACAAGCTTCAAAAAGCCCAAAACCTCCATACCATTCTCGCTTGCCATCGTCATCTTAGCCTTCCAATCAGCCGCCAAATTCATTGCATCTTCTCTCACCTGAAGACTTATTTGTGGTGAGAATATCTTCAACTCCTGTAACAAAAGAATACAACTCCTCCTAATAACTCTCAAATCATAATCGGATGTCTCTGAGTTGTCTCCAGTCGAATTTGAAGGGTAAAACCCTTGCATTGCATTCAAAACTAGTTTTGCTGGGTCAGATGACGCCTGGAGAATAGCTGAGATTTCGGTGCCAACTAAATCAATTCTTTTCAAATGCTCATTCATGAGCAACTGCAAGCCTCTTCCATCCCTATTGGTAATGGTAGCAGGGGTACATAGCAATTGCTGATCATTATCCACTTCAGGATGGACATTGGTCTTCTCCTTGGATTTCAGGTTTTGGATATGTTCCTCCGTGGATCTTCTAATCGAATCAAATTCTTCCTGTTTCGATTCAAGCTCTTTGACTTGTTCTTGGAGTTGCATCTCTCTCATTTCAAGTCCATGTGAACTTTCCTGTAACAACTTTTCTTTTGCATCCAAATGTTGTTGGCGTTCTTGTTGGATAGTGGCCAAATTAGGCTAGGAAACAAAACAATATTGATGAGGGAACATCATGATGAGGATTATGTTTCCTTGTTTTGTGGCTTGATTTGTTCCTTATTTTGTGGCTTGATTTGCTCCTTGTTTTGTGGCTTTTTCAAAGCCATAATTATTTGGCTTTCGGGTGAAAGAAAGGAGGAGAAGAAAAGGGGTTGTTTTTTATTTAAATGCCTTGCCAAAGGAGAAGGAACGGATGAAGAGAAAAGCATCCAAAGAGATGGTGAGAGCATTTGGCTCTACCATGGGCACGGGTGAGAGAAATCAAGAGAGCTAGAGTGAAAGATCTCTTGTGAAAGAACTCTTGGGGTAGAGTGAGGCTCTTGGGAAAATTCTGTGAGTGGGTGTACAAGGGATATGGGATTGGGTTATGTTGATTTAACTCATGTGTAACTTGTACTGTTTTTCTCATAGTGAAGAGCAATATCTCTCCGAGGACGTAGGCAGGTTTTTGCCGAACCTCGTAAATTTCTCG